GTGCTCTATTTTTCTGTGCAGATTTTCACTTTTATCCAAAGGTCTTTTCAGAATCAGAACAATGTTAAAAGATAGGAAAATGTTCAAGAAATGTCTCACACATTTTCTACTTGTCATTTTCGTACACACATCATAGTTTTTTTTATCAAGATACAACATAGCTTGTGATTATACCATAGAGGTTATACACCTAGAAGAACGTTAAAGCTTTGAGTAATAGATATTTTTCGAATAAGTTTATATAAAGAAAATTGTGAATATTAAATTAAATATATTTTTAAAATTTATATTATAAAAATTATAAATTTTTAATAAAGTAATTTATTATAAATAAATATACAAATATATAAAACTAGAAAAAAAAGGTCACTAAGAATTTGTTCCTCCAAAAATAGAGTTTCAGCAACAAACAGCTTATAATATTAGAAAAAATATAATGAAAATTTAGTATTTACAAAAGGAAATTGTACTTTAATAATGAAAGGTCTAATTTTGAAAAATAAATTACCTAATGTATTACTCGTTTCAAGAAACTTTAAAAGTGTATGTAATTAAAAAAAAGTTTAATAGCCAATTTAGTCCTCACTTTGGTTGAAAAATCTCAATTTAGTCCCTCGTTATAAAAGTGTTTTGAATTAGTCCTAACTTTTAAAATAGTGGGTCAGATTGGTCCTTTCTGTTAAATATAAGTTAACAAAATTAATGGATGATGATGTGACACAACTTAAAGCTAACGAGGGACCAATCTAACACATCAGCTTTAAGCTGTGTCACATCATCATCCATTAATTTCGTTAACTTATATTTAACGAAAGGGACCAATCTGACCCACTATTTTAAAAGTTAGGACTAATGTAAAACACTTTTATAACGAGGGACTAAATTGAGATTTTTCAATCAAAGTGGGGACTAAATTGGCTATTAAACCTAAAAAAAATAACGGTTACATATACTATTAACGAATTCATAGTAAACTATTAAGAAAGGTATAATTGGACGTGTTGATTTTTATATAGACCATGTTTTTATATGTTATAAGAAATTTGAAAGAAAATGATTATGTTTTTCAAAGAGTAGTTTTATTTTGAATTCTATTCAACAAGAGAGATAGATGGATGGGAGTGTAGGCATTGTTTGAATGTTATGAATGGGTGCATGTGTGTTGTATATCTGTTGGAATATGTATAGCCTCGTGTAAGACCTCATTGGTCATCATCACTCACCAGTCAATTCTATGAGCACGAGGAAAGAAAACAGAACAACTACTCCTTCTGTTGTTATGTTATGACACAACATTCCACGAACTATCTTCCCATACTTCTAAATTGACGGCTTTTTTTCTATTACTACACTTTCTATCTCTCCTTGGATTTTCCATTTCTTTATAAACATTTTACTTTTTCTTTCCCTCTATCACTCAAATATCAATTTCTTACTAAATTAATATCATCATATTTTGAATGATAATTTGTATGATGACAACTAACTATTTCTATCGTCATAATAAATTAACTAGTGATATAATTATAAATAATACCTTACTTATTGTATGAGTTAAAATAAAAGTTATTTATTATGTCAATTTAAATAATAACTAATTTAAAAAAATGAGTTATTACGTGAGATGAAATTGAAAATGACATTGTAAGTCTTTTTATTGTAACATAGTTTCCAACTTATCTAACTTTTCATATATGAGTTTTAATAGCATCAATTTAGCTTTTTATTGTTTTTAACACCTTCTTTTTATTATGTTTTTTTTTTCATTTAGTGTTATGTTTTTTTCGTTTGTGTTTTCGTTATGAGATTTATTTATGTTAATTAATGGACTACATATTGATATTTGATTTTGGTTGTAACCATGAAACAAAGATTCTCAATTACTTTATTGCTATTTACATTTAATCATAATATATTAGATGTGTTATTACTATGTGGTAAGTTGGGGCTCGTGGATCGGTTGTGGTATAAAGAAGAACGGTGCAGTCAGACGGTTACGACAGTCATTGAATAGAGTTAAACTGCAATTAATACGGTTAGTGCTATTGATGAATGGTTAATGTTCGCATTAATGTTCATTAAGAGGTAAATTAATAGGTTTGATTTTCATAAACCCTTAAATTTCAAAGTAAGACACTTTTTCATAATTTTTACAATAGACCTTCATACGAAACATATCTTACTTGAGCGTCAGGGTATCTTCTGCATGTCAATCCTCCTCAAGCCTATCGGATCGGTCCAACAGAGCAGGGAGAAGAGTGAATGTTCGTCCAATCCAGTAGAAACATGTGTTTTTTTAGATGATGAATTTGAATGGATTTAGAGATAAAGTTTTTGTTGTTTCTTTTTAAGAGATTTGGAAAGTGAAAAAATATGAGTGAAATTTGTGAATAATTTAATTGATATGGTAAATAATTTTTTTAATAAATTAAATTATAAAATTATTATTTTTCCTTATAGTAAAAATTTATATATATATATATATATATATATATATATTATTATTATTATTATTATTATTATTATTATTATTATTATTATTATATAAGTGGTTTCCTCTCCTCCCATGTTCAATGCATAACACCACCCACCCACAATGCAAACTCATAATCAATTTCCGCACTTATGAGATTGGATGAATAATGTATCCCGCAACTTCATGCCCTCTCTCGTAGCAAATCTATTCAAGAAAACACAAAATATCATAAATTCATAGCTTCAAACAGAAAATCAGCCTAACAAAATTATATTTTTAGGCAAATTTTCAGTACTTTCTCTCTTAATTCCTACAAGGTAATTGCAATCATCCCTAAATAAAATACTGAAACATGGGCATGGAAGTGAATACGGCAATCACAACTATATGTTTTAACAAAATTGTCTTTGTTTCTTTTGTGTGTTTGCAATAATTACCCACTTTGAAGAGAACAGAGACTATTGAGTTTGTAGTAGAAAAGCTTCAAGTATGTTATGTTCATTTCATATCCTTCAAGGAATAGTAAGTGTTCTTGAAAATCGATGGACACTAGAATGACCTAAATGTGTCCTTGAACAATGTGTGTTGGCATTTATTGGAACCTTACAGTTGATACGGATCAAAGTCTTCCTTGAAACCTCAAAGGAATGTTTGTAATGACCATGAAATAGAAACTATGTAATGACCATAATATTGTTTTGTCTTTTCTTTCAAAAATCTAATTGATCTTATGAAAACCCTGTAAATTGTTTGCTTATCTTAAAATCATAATTTGGAGTACCTAATCATCATTTGTACTGACAAATAGATTTAATTGAAAAGACACGAAAGACATGTAACTTACCTTATGTTGGCTGGCTGTTGTTTCAAACAGTCCACAGAGCTCCTACACAGATTATTTATGGTAAGGTAATTGGTCTATATAGTATAAGTTTTTAATACAAGATTCAATTCATATCATAATTCCGTAGAAGTTAAATTTGGAATGAGAAAAATATAAAGTAGTCATTCTCTTCAACACAACAACTAAATTATACAAATAAAAAATAGTCACAGATTGTAGTAAAATAAATAAATTATTTTATCTTATAAAAAGCAAGTTGATGAAATATGATAAAATACATTAAATAACATAACTTATGTCTCACCTCAGTAACCTAGAGATTATGTCGATTGCTTTACTCCAAATTTTTAATTTTTATACATGCAACTTTACATAATTAAGATTTCACAAGCATTCAATATATGAACAAATATTATATTAATCTTTCTTTGAACTATATTGTAATATATATAGATTCTTTCTCTTTGAATAAGAAAATCTATATTGAATTTATCAGCCTCATATTGGTTTGTCACAAATGTTGTATTTTCTTCTGACCTTGACAAAGAGCAAAATCATGAAGAAAGATTAAAGATAAAAAAGTACTCGGAGGGTTTGAAAGATATAAATCAAACTTAAAAATTATGTATTTTTATTTATTGATAAATCCATTTAATATACAGTGCTAGGTTGATAACTAACTATTTTTTTAAAATAAAATTATGATTTATTGAAAAATATTTTTAACTCATTAAATATTATTTTTTATATTAATCAAAATTAATAATCATTCATAATAATTTAATTAAATTTTATTCTCAAATATAGTTTTATAATTAATTTAATAGAGTTTACTAAAAAAATTTAAAGAAATTTTTTAGAGAGAGAAAAAAAATGGATTTATGGATTGCATGAAGAAACAATTGAAACGGTAATTATGATAATAAAACAATATTTTACTTTATGAATTAGTTAAAAACTAAGGTAATTTTGGTGGATAAGACAAATTAGTGTAAATAAGTATTTATCTTCATCTTTTGTTTTTACAAAAGGGTTTTACCAAAAAAGAAGTTATTTTCTAAGCCAATAAGTTTTCTAGAGTAGAGTTTCAACTACATTAAACCTTTTTTATATTATTAATAATACACTAACAGCTTTACTATTTCAACCTCACATTCTGTAAATTCTATTTTTTAATTTCTAGATGTGTTTTTCACACATGCAATTTGAGGGAAAACAATTTCTCAATGGTCTCAAATTGCTATTTTTTTATCCACATAATTGATTTTTTTAATAGTATATATGTTTATTTTATGTACTTTTTATCTCACTCTCTAGATGAAATTTGATATTCTTAAAAAAATATTAATTTTTAAAAATAATCTTATATCATAAATGAAATTACTACTAGTAAATATAAAATTTAATTTATATAATTAAGTAGATATGTATTGTACATTATAATTCATAGTTTATATGTTTAAAAATCTGGTTTATTATAAAGTTTAATTATATAAAAACGAATATTTATTCTAGAAGCTAAAAATATTTAGTTATAAATGAAGAATTTACTTGTTTGTTGGAGTGAAGAAAAGGAAAAGACTGAAATATGATATAAATGAGAAAATAAATAATTTGGTTGCTGTGGTTAATGTGAATAAAAGGAGGAAGAGTAAAAGTAAAGCACAGAAGGCGAAAACAAACAGTCAAAAAGACCTAGGAAGATCAATCGATATATAGTAGCAGCAGCAAGGGTTGTAGAGGCAATGGAACCTTTTGGTCGAGGTGGCGGTGGCGGTGGTGGTCGCGGCCGCGGCCGTCGCTCTCAATCTATTTCACGGGTAACTAATATTTTCTTGTGTTTGAAGGTCATTAGGTTATTATTTTTTAAATAAAATAATTACTTTGGGGGTTTTACGAATATGAACGGTTTTGTAGGTTGTTGTTGGCAACGAGCAATGTGGGCGAGGTAGGGGCAGCGAAGAGAAGAAGCAAGAGCAATGTGAGCGAGGTAGAGGAAGCGAAGAGAAGAAGCAAGAGCAATGTGGGCGAGGTAGGGGCAGCGAAGAGAAGAAGCAAGAGCAATGTGGGCGAGGTAGGGGCAGCGAAGAGAAGAAGCAAGAGCAATGTGAGCGAGGTAGGGGAAGCGAAGAGAAGAAGCAAGAGCAATGTGGGCGAGGTAGGGGCAGCGAAGAGAAGAAGCAAGAGCAATGTGGGCGAGGTAGGGGCAGCGAAGAGAAGAAGCAACCGCAGAATTCATCACCTGATTCTCGTTCCGATTCTGATTCTGTTGGAATGGGAATGGCAAAGTTAAATATTGGCGATGACGTTGATAAGCCATCAGCAGCAGCCGCAGCATCCGCAGCAGTAGGAGAGGGAGGGTTTGATATATGTCACCGTAAGCAACCTGGAAGCGTGGTTCTGAAACCTCCATTGCTTGCACAGAACAGAGAAAGGAGAAAATCCCGTAGTAGTAATAACAATGGCATTGGGTTATCGTTGAGGCCTGGGATGGTGTTTCTGAAGGGTTACCTTTCACTGAGCGATCAGCAGAAGATAGTGGAAAGGTGCAGGGAGTTGGGGGTGGGCGTGGGAGGATTCTACCAGCCTGGTTACGGGGAAGGAACCAAGATGCATTTGAAGATGATGTGCCTCGGAAAGAACTGGGATCCTCACACCTCTCAGTACGGAGAACGACGACCATTCGACGGAGCAAAACCCCCCCACATCCCTCCCGAGTTTCAGACATTGGTCACTAATGCACTTCGTGATTCCAACGCCCTCGTTCCTCAAAATCGCCTTCCCTCCATCTCACCCGACATCTGCATTGTCAATTTTTACTCCCAAACTGGCCGTTTGGGTCTTCATCAAGACAAGGATGAAAGTGAAGACTCTCTTCGCCGAGGCTTGCCCGTCGTATCCTTCTCCATCGGAGACTCTGCTCAATTCCTCTATGGAGATCACAGGGATCCCGACAAGGCAGAGAAACTGCAACTCGAATCTGGGGATGTTTTGATCTTTGGTGGCCCCTCCAGAAATGTATTCCACGGAGTTAGCGCTATTCATCCAAACTCTGCCCCCAACCTCTTGCTGCAACAGACTAATCTACGCCCTGGTCGATTGAATCTCACTTTCAGACAGTACTAAGTTAAATTCATATATATACCTTTCCTTCTATTCTCACTAATATATTCTATCTAATTTCTAAAGTAGCCTCGTATTAACTGAAATTATGCTCGTAAACTATGCTAATTTTGCAGCCACTGTTCTCCTTATCTGTTGTTTTTGCTTTCCAAACTGTCTGTGCTTCACTACACTATAGCTCGTTATTTGTTACTTTGCTTGTTTATCTATTATGGATCCATTCTCTTATTACTGTCATTCCGCCATCCATCACTTTGTATGCCGCAAGTTAAATTCTTTCTCGTCTGGATTTCGTGTAGAATCAAGTTTTTTTTTTCCACTGGTACGGTTACTGCATTTAGTCAAAATAGCGTACTATTCCTTGACTGCTACCATTTGGACAAGAAAACCATGTCATAATTCAACTTTCAATGTCTCCTAGAGGGCTTTACTTTATTTTTCATTTACAAGATAAATTGAAATTTAATATCCAGTCAGCACCTTTATTACTTTTTTATTTTGGGTACAAGTATAGACCAACATTGCATTTCACTCAAACAGAGCAGTCGAAGCATCCATTATCAATGTTGGCTGAATAAATTTAACTAATAAATAGCATTAGAGTTCAATTGTTGTGGAGCTGCTTTTTGACCTTGAATCAGGCTCGGTTCCCCAATGCTAATGCAGCGGAATCAATATGTACAAGCAAACAAGAATAAACTTTTTGCTTCAATCTGTCAACAGTCTCCACCATCCCTTCACTTTCCGTGTTGCAACTGCTCCTCAGGTTGTCCAGCCACTCGTTTGCATGCTTAAGGTGTGACAGTGTTAGAGCTATATTATTGGCTTGCTCAATTTGTCTCCCTGCAACATCCTTACTATCCTTGCTCTTCTCACGGGAGCTAACGGAAAATCCAGCATCTAATGTCTTTTCCAGATACATCAGAAACCACGATCTTGTTTCATTTAAAAGTAACTCTCTCAGCTCGTTGATCTCTTTCATACCACCCCCTTTGGCCCATTCTTGTTTCTCAATCCCTGATAGTTCGGTCAAAGGTTTTGAAGACTTTGCCGTGCTTTTAGCTGGCATCAAACCTGCTGTCGTGCCAGATTTATGCCTTTCTAAGGGAGTTGAAATTCTGTATAGTTGAAGTGATTTATCATTCAATTTAGCTGTACCATTTGGCTGGTCCATGAGCTGTTGGAGAGCAAAAAATTTGCTTAGTGTGGCATGAGGGTTCTCTGAAGATGCGAAAGAGCAGACGTTGGCGAACATACTGAAAACCAAAGATGAAGAGGTGACATTTGAGGGACACAAAATAGCAATAGGAACTGTGCTTTCATTTGTAACCCAAATTAACTGATGAAGGCGTTTGATTACTACGGAATGAATGTATTGTCTATGTACTAACGAGTACCAAGGTTTAGATTAAAAGACAGTATATACCTCAGGCATTTAACTGTGGTTGTTGCTGCAGACGCTTCTTTTTGGGCTTGTACTACAACCTGAGATGCTAGATGTTTCCTTCTAAGAATAACCTTCGGTAAAAGGAAATAAAGTGGGCAAGGAGGAAATTATGTTTAGGTTTTGTATAGTAAATGTTAATACCCAAAATACAAGTGTTCTTATTGAATTAAATATAGTTTGGTTTAAGTTCATCACATGTTTCAATGCACGTTTATTGCTAATCCGTCACGCATTGGATTGGCGATTAATGACAATTATCAACGTTTCAATTAATGATAAGAATGCACCTTTCCGGGCCGGAGAAGCTTGGCTGGCAAAGAAGACCATGGGATTGTCTCAGTGCTCTTGCTTTTATCTTTAGCGCCAGACAACAAATTCATATTCAAATTTTCCTGTTTAGTAGGACTACTGTGTTTGGCAGAAGTGCGCACAGAAGGTGCTATGACAGCTTCTCGGATGTTAGATTGAGCGACGTCTTGCTTTGGTGAAAATGCTTCAAGTCGAGTGCCAGTTTGAGTCATTGGGAGCACCTGTGATGCTAAAATCTATTATTAAATAATTTTCAACAACAGTACAAAAATATCGAACTGATTGTATCTGATAAGTTCATTGAAGTTATTTGCAATTTTCATTCAAGGCCAATCGTACTTGATTCTATATATCACTCTCACTTTCCCAGTTACTCCAAAGCTACATAGAACGAGTTAAATTCTACAATACAACCATATATTCTTGAGCCTTTAGGAAACGGAATCCAGAGCAAGAATCATACCTGACCTTTGATGTCTAGTTGCTTTCCTTTCACAGATCCCACCTTTTTACCATCTGCGCCCATTTCTAGATCATTTCCTTTGCTTCCTACATTAGCCTCTAGCCCGTTAAGCTTTGAGTTTGGATTCAGAACACCCTGCATATACCTGGATGCAACACCTAGTTTTTCCTCTTTAATAACAATCTTCTGACTTGAACTTGGATTCTCTTTGGCTTCTGTTAAATCCGTGGATTTGGAACCATTAACTCCATCACTATGAGGATGCTCTGATTGTTCTAACATCTGCATTAAGTCCTTGGGATTGCCTTCAAAAGGATGGCGTCCAGGGAGTGCTCTAACACCAACAAGAATAGGGACAGGTGTCCCAGCTTCGATTCCATCCACATAAAAGAATTGCCCAAGCTGCAGCTTATTATTCAATATGAGCTCGTTGTCTTCCTTCGAAAGTGAGACATAGGTTGAGTGAGAAGAGTCGGAGACTTTTATGAAGAAACCTTGGTTAGGCCATAACTCAGAGCCAGATAGTGCGGGCACGATGCTGATCACCTGCAGAAGAACAGAGCGATATTCCCCGCGTACTTTTACGTTAGAGTTCATACTCTGAAGAAGCTTCAGTAGAACTCCAGGCACCAGGGATGCCATTCTTCTTCCCCTTGCAACTCAAATTGTAAATGTCATGCGTTATACTTTTCAAGTGTCAGTAACAGGAAATTGAATGTTATCATGAGATCTTTAGTGCACAAAAAAAATGAGCAGAAAAACAGCTTTCTTTGCAGGTGAACATGTAAGATATTACTGTTTAAGGGATGATTGAAGCACAGGACAATAGGGCTTCCGCAATGGCTTAACAGAGAACATCTAAAGGTTTGCATGAAGGGCACGTAACCATCCAATTCTCTTGGCTTGGAAGCCAAGCCAAGGGACCATCCCATACTTACAACACATTCTGTCAGACACGAAAATGACAAATCAGCCCCTTTTATAACACAACATAAATGAGATATTATTATGTCTATCTTTTGGACATTGTGGTCTTTACGGTGGTAGGATTCAATCTGGTAGCGTTTCGTTTTTTAAGCTAGAGGCAATGTAAACATTAAGATAGGTAAGGATATTCCCATGTCAATTTCTCCTAAGATGACCCACAATCGATTACTTCTCTTTTGTTGATCCTCAATATTAGAGCTTGGTTTAAGCTCGATTTACTTAAACACAAAAACCTACGACTGTATATACTTGGTTTAAATCTTTTGTAAAACTATTTAGTTATTATGATCACAACATTCTAGTTTAAATGATACCATGAATTATTGTTATTATTTTCAAAACCTTGAACAATTTCTCAAATAATGAAAAAAATGTTTTTATACTTTTTAAAATTTTAAAATAGACTTATTAAAAAATATTTGAAATAATTTTTCAAAACAAATAAAATAATACAAATCGAAAAAAAAAACTAACGAGTCACGTAAAACAAAATACATGCATTATAAGAAAATATTATTTTCCTGACCAAATTTTGTAGATGAAAAAAAAATTTGTTAAAAAAATTGTCTTAATATTTACAAGCGAATTTTAACTACGAATTTTAGGATTTTAATTACAAATAATAAATTCATCAGTAACTCACAATTTTTATTACTAATCAATAATTCTTTCGATAAATTCTATCACTAAAATAGGAGTTAAAATTTTTGTTTTAGATTTGACCCTATCGTAATAAAATTTATCAATAATACCTTTTTAAAATATGTCGGTAATTAAATTTGTAATACATTCATCAATAATTAAATTTTGAAAATTTATTGATAAAATGGGGATTAATTCATCAATAGTTAAAATATTTGTTATAAATTAAGTTGAAATGAGTAGAAAAAAGAAAAAGAAAGATAAAAAGTGACAAACTCACTTCCTCTCACAAATGAATTAGACTTTAATTAATTTAATTTTATAAAATTGACTTGTCTCATATTTGTACTTACTTATATATTATTGACTTTATTTCTAGTTGTTAAGTATGACTTTAATAAAACATTTTTTTCCATTATTAAACTTTGTTATCATATGATTGGTCATTACACTTGCTAATAATTGGAAATTTCTTCAAGTAGACATAATGTTTTCTAGATCGATTATCTTCAAAAAAACCACTCCTAGTTTGAACGACCATGATAAACTTAACAAAGCCATAACTTAAGCAAACCCAAGACAATGGGTTTAGAGACTTCCAAGCAAGTATACTTTAATAATTTCTTTTATAAAACTTCCTTCTTAATTTAAGATCTTAATAAAACTTTGGCTTTAGATACTACGTAATTGTAACTAACAGCAAAAATAATCATGAAAGAGTAATTACTTTCAGACCATAAAATGGCAAACATCATCATTTTAAGGTAAACAAACCAAAATCATAAATGTATTTGTCCATGATCAAACAGATGATCGAGGAGTTAGAGCTCTTATAGAGATTGTAGAGTGTTCAAGAAAATAATGTTTTAGAGAAAATGTAAGTGTTTAAGATAATGAGACGAGTTTAGAAATTCTATTTATTTAATCAACTTATTTTTAAATTTGATAATACTTGGTCTCATTATTTTAACACACCTACCAACTCTAATATTCTATTTTCCAGGTTCTTATAGTCTTCCAATCTTTTATATGTTCTCTTTTTGTGTTTGATAATACTTTGTGTTCTCTTATATGCAAACTTATTATTACATTTTTATTTTTCATTTGTTTCATTTTTATTAAAAAAAAAGATAAACTGATATATGATTATCGATGGAACAAATACTAGAAGAACTTGAAGATGAATCATTTCAGTTCAAAGGACTTATAACAAAGTCAAGAAGTCAAAACTTGGAAGAAAAAATCTCTTTAAAACTCATGATGCTACAAGAAGCTAAAAACTCAATATCAAAATCATAGCTTATAACTTAATTATAGAATAGTTTTCAGTCATTTAATTACCTTTGTAATTTCTTTTAAGTTTTGTAAGTTTGATTTGCAAACATATTTCTTTAGGTGAACATTTAGTTTTGATTATTACATTTTGATAAATTTGTTGGACGAAAGAAATCGTTGGGAGACCAATCATTGGACAATGAGTCAAAGTCTGTTTTTCTGTTTCAAAGTTATTTTACGACCGAATGTACTTCAAAACTATATTTTTTAAGAAGAAAGATCCAAGAAAATTTTAATATTAAATTATGTACTTTTGTTTAATTAGTGATAATGATTAAATATATAAATTTTAAATATATTATTTTGACCCTTCTAAAATTGGTGTTTAAGATCACCCACTTTGGATGAAAAACCAAGGTATATACCTTTCTCACTCCATTATACTTCCTTTAAGTTGTGAATTATCCCTGAATTGGAAATTTGGTTAATAACTGATCATTGTATTTATGAGTCTAATCTTAAAACTAGACAATCATTAACTTCTAATTATTTTGATAACTTTTTGGCAAGTATACCAAATCGTTACAAGTAATACAGTGATAAATAAAGTATCGTTCTCCTCAGGGAATTTGTG